GGGTTTGTCCCTATTTTACCCAGCACTGAGTTGTATTTAACCCAGCATTTTTTAGAGTGTGACATTTTCCAAGTAGAAAAACAGCTTTTTCTTGTAAAACATACTCCAATAACTGGTTTTAATTACTACTTTGAAAAAAAATCATTACAGTGTTTGTCAATTAATGTAAATACATGCATATAAATAAGTACATGTATGTAAATAAATAAATAAGTTTTAGATATAGGGCTTATTTACAGAAAAAGAAGACATTACCTTGAAATAAACACTGATCAGCGCACATACATAGAGCTCATCAAATATGGTAAACACAGAAGCTCAACCATGCTTGCTTGAGTTCTCGTGAGTCATGTGTCAAGCTTTCATGTTTATAATATCTGATGAGCGCCATGTATGTGTGTTGATCAGTGTTTATAAATAAAAGCCTACATTTGATCTCTTCATCATATGAAGCGATCATTTCTCTTCATGAAACTTGGATTAAACTGCTTGATTCATATGGATTGCTTTTTTATAAGGTCTTAATTAACTTTTTGATGCATCAAATGTTTAGATGATTGGAAAATTCAGTGGATGGAAAATTATAAGAGAATATCAAAAATGTCTTCATTTGTGTGATGATGAAGGAAAGTCTTATGGTTTTGGAATGACATGAGGGTGAGTGAATGATGACAGAATTTTAATTTTGGGGTGAACTATCCCTTTAAGGTTTGTGTTTATACAGAAATTGATATTTACAAATCATCCCACAGAGAGATAAGTCTCCCCTTTCATCATGTTAGCTAAAATGTCTTATCTTAGGTGTCTTGTAGTTAAATATTCTCAGAGCCTTTATAGAAAATTCACGTACAGATATCCAAACACACTGGTGAGTTCCTTCTTGTAGCACAAAACAGTCCTTCCATTCATCATTCAATTTGATACATTCTTCAAATTGGTGAAAAACAGAAAATGAAAATCTCAGCTGAAGGAGTCAGAATTCAGAAGTCAAGAGGAGAGATAAATGGCAAACAGGTGTGTGAGATCAGTGGGTGAAAGCACTGGTTCACACTTCCTTCACACTCCCTGGAACTGAGCAGAATGGATTAAAGCAGATCTTCTGCATTAACCTTTACAGAACAAGGCAGAGTGTGTGTGTGAGACACAAGTCATAGTTTTGCCAGAGAACTGTCCTTGGAGAGTTAGTGATGACACTAACAGCCTGTTGTTCAGGCTTTGAGCAGTTACATGAGACCACACACATAGCCTACTGACACAGTCAAATCGATTAAACGCACACAGCCCGTAAGTGGGATTACAGCAGTCAGTGTGTGACTGAGATATGGAGGAGCCAGCCATGAACATCACCCTCTAAATCTGCTACCACAAGCACGCACGCACACACACACACACACACGCACGCACGCACGCACACACACACACACACACACATGTTGTGTTTCCATGTTTTATGGGGACATTCCATAGGCATAATGGTTTTTATACTGTACAAACTGTATGTGCTATTGCCCTACACCAACCCTACACCTAAACCTACCCCTTACAGGAAACTTTGTGCATTTTTACTTTCTCAAAAAAACTAATTCTGTATGATTTATGAGCTTGTTTCCTCATGGGGACCTCAAAAATGTCCCCACAAGGTCAAAATTTACTAGTATTACTATCCTTGTGGGGACATTTGGTCCCCATAACGTGATAAATACCAGGTACACACACACACACACACACACACACTTATTTTTATGTCACGTTGAGGACTTTCCATTGCTTTCAGTCAATGATATTTTCTATCCCCTTTGTAAACATTTCTAAAACGCATATTTGTAGAATGTTTTTAAGCCATTTTCCTTAGATCACCACAATATTGGTAATTTCAGCTTTCACTTATGTGGGAAGAGAATCATTAATCATCGATAAAAGTGTAGTACACCGAGCTTTATTTAACACAGTGTATCATATTAAACAACCTTCTCAGAATTCCCATAAATCATTTGGACCTAATAATATTACAAAAAAAACAACTTATCTTCAGTGTCAAACATGTCTGTCACAGCAGGCATTGAGCAGAACCGACAAAAAAATCCAACAATTACCATTCCTTTAATTACAGTTCATTAAAACTGTTATTAGTTTGTACATTTATGTCACAAAAACCTGCTCTCTGAGGGCAATATAACTATTTTTGCTGTGCAAATGCCTCTTTTGTGCTCTTAATATAATAATAGTATTTGGCAAGTCATGTGCTGTTAGGTCATGGGCTTGGCGCAGCCAAAGTTAATTAAAAATCACATAACTTACAGTATTTAAACAGCCGAACAGGTTATATGAACTCAGTGGTTTAAGGCGTTATTTTAGGGTTTTCCCTGTCTTTAGGTGCGGTCACATTTACTGTTGCTCTGTAAAATTCAGTCATTCCCAATAGCGATCTGTGCAATCCGGGGTTTCAAAATTATATATGACGCTACCCTGACTAAGGTCTATGACAACAAAAGCCTAGCATGTCTAACATCTAAAATTCATCGAATAGATTCAGTGCTGGGTAGTAACTGATTACATGCAATCTGAATTATGTAATCAGATTCCAAAAATGAAGTACTGTAATTAGATTAACAGTTACTTTTTTATTGGTTACATGATTACATATTATTGACACAATAGCAATTAATTATTCATAATTTATTCAATCTCCCTAATTCTTTTTTTTCTAAAATAGCCTTCTGCTTATATTCATTCAGAAAGTCTTCCAGTTTTGTGGACAGTTACTAGTCAGGTTGGCTATGAGGACACACAGCATTTGACCATTGGATTTACAAAAATCATTTACATTTTAAGAAGTATTTTTCTCAACATTTCAACATTGCATCAACTACTGCGGAACACATTAATTTTTATTTGAATTATCACTCAGTGGGTTATTTAACCGTGCATTACTATGTCTTCAGTACACGTTAAATGCACAAATTCATGTTATTTATTATTTGCATGCAATGCAGGGATTCCCAAACTTTTTTGACAGCTGTAACTCTTTTACCTAATATATTTACTTGAAGTACTCCAGAGATTGTAAGGTAATAAATTAATAACCAAGTAACACGTTTGCATGTTCACGTTTCTCTGACGTCGGTTAATGGTCACGTGACATGCAGGAAAACAAATAAAATATTTAATCTATGTTAGTGTTTTATTTTGATTGTTATTTTAAAATGCTTTTTTTTTTAGTTTTACATTTTTATGATTTAATTACTTTTAAGCTTTCCCTTAAACGTGCAAACCCCCAGCAGTTCTTTTACAAACACGTTTGGAAAACCTTGACACAATGTACCGTTTAATGCTCTTCATCTTGTTAATAACCAACCCGATCTCATGAAAGTGCGTATAAATAGTACGCCAAAGAAAAAAACGAAAACTCGTGGTATTGATATGCAAAAATGGACTTTGGCGTGTATATGCTACGCGATGGGTAGGTTTAGGGTTGTGGGGTAGATGCGTATGATATGTACGCGAAAACTGCGTATCATATGCACGCCAACAAATTTCGTATCATATGCACGCGAAAACTGGTATTATATGCACGCCAAACACGTGTATCATATGCACGTCAAAGTCCATTTTTGCGTATCAATACCACGAGTTTTCGTTTTTATTTGGCGTACTATTTATATGCATTTTCATGAGACCGGGCTCTAATAACAACGAATGGAATACATTTTCTTTCTCTTTGTACATTTATACCAATATGGTTCAAGATTATACTGTTTAATTCAATGTGATAAATGAGTTTGGTCAAAAGTAATCTAAAACCAGTCTGATTACACTAAAATGTGTAATGTAATGGATTATGTTAATAACTCCAATTTTTGTCATGGAATTTGAAATCAGTAATCTACCAAGCACTGATTATACATTTTATATGCATTAATTGCATTGAAGTATAATTTTTTATCGGTTTGTTTACTAACTGAATGAATTTGAAATGACTTTCTGTGATTGTACAAAAGCCTCAAAAAGCAAAAGAAAAACAATGCAAACACATTATAATAAAAACTAAAGAAAATAAACTCAAAGAAAGTCTCTTTTAATAGATGTAATAACAAACATGTAACTTTAACTTCAAAAAACAGTAAATGTGGTTAAATACAAACCGTGGATCAAGTAATCGCCCATGAATGACAAAACATCCCAAAATGCTCGCTTTCAGATGTCACATATAAACTGTACAATTACTCTTGCAAGTCTGCAATTAAGTTGTCAAATCTCATTGTAACACTTAAACCATATTGATCCCACTTACTTTGCATTCTACTCAGCATTTCATAAAATATCCCCCCAATAATAAAAAAAAAACCTCCCTTAATTTATCCAAAATCAGTGCACAGATGGTGGTTTGCCTGTTCTATCCTCTTTACTTTGAGCTCCAATATATCTGTTATTTTAAGGCTTTGGTAATAATCAATGGAATGTCATTAAGAATCACTTTCATTTTATTCTGAAGCCAACTATTTATATCAGACCTTGAAGAGATTTCTGGAGCGAAGGGATGCTTCTTTCAGTCAAAACTGAGTTCTTCGGGTCTAGCAGGGAATGATCTGGTTATAACGAGGAATGCATCACAATAAAATATTCAAGTTGTAATCAAAGCAATAATCAACACCTTGTTGAACCTCCCCCCACCTTCCCCTCCCACCTAATGAACACAGCACACTGGTTAGTCTGTTATAAAATATGATGTCTTTTGTGTGTTTAGCACTGCATCTACAAATACAGGGTGACGGGTCAGTTATGCTCTAATGCCCACTAGTGGTGGATCTGAGACAACGCAGAAGTGAGCAGCCCTTTAACAAAGTGACATGCAACAGATTTGATGCCCTGTCATAATACTCTATATTACTCTCCTTACTTCTAATGAGAAGTGATTTTTCTGTATGACGAATGAGATCCAATGATGGTGCTTTGTCCAGATGACTCTCCTCCACCCGTCACAGAGGATGGAGGCCACGACAGTAGGAAGATCATATAGAAAATTCCTTGTGATTCAGTTTTGTGTCTGCATGTAATGCATCTAAATATTCAGTCAATATTTTGTCCATCTTGTACACACCAGGCTTTGCCTCCAGTCATGCGGTTTGATCAGTCAGTCAGTTTGGCACTTTATAGCAGCTGGTAGTATTTCAGTGCTGCCGAAGACAGTATGAGAGTGTGTAGACGACATGATATCTTACTGTTACACACTTAGAGAACCTGAGCGCCTGAGGAGGCAGAAAACAGATCATAACACTGTCCATCCTCAGACACAGAGAGCAGCTCCTCCTCAATGATGGCTGGCTCTGTCAGTCATGGTGCTCCTGCTTGACTCCTCACTCCTTTATCCTGGATTTTCCCGTGTGTGCAGAGGATTCTTCATTAATCCTGGTGGGTCTTTTCCTGACTGACTTTGTACTCGTACTGCAGCAAATAAAGAAACACAAATCAATGCAATGCATAGTGTTTCAAAGGCAACATAACTCCGTTTCACAATTTTGAGAACTTTCCAAAATTGAAAAAAAAAAAAAAAAACATTTAATGTTATGCAAATAAACGTGCTATTTATATATAGCTTTGTAAATAAATGAGTTTATAAATAAAAAAATAAAAAAATAAATAAACCTTACACAACCCAGCAAATTAACCTACACTACTGTTAAAAAGTTTTGGGTTGGCAAGATTGATTGATTTATTTATTTTGTGTGTTTTTGAAAGAAGACTGTTAGGTTGTATTTGATTAAAAAAAAAGTAGTAAAAACATTAGTATTGTGAAATATTATTACAATTTAAAATGACTGTTTTCTATTTGAATATATTTTAAAATGTATTCATGTGTTGCAAAGCTGAATTTTCATCATTATTATACCAGACTTCAGTGTCACATGATCCGTCAGAAATGTTTTAATCAATTATTATCAATTTTGAAAACAGTTGTGCTGCTTAATATTTTTGTGGAAACTGTCATATATTTTACAACCGGATTCGCTGTTGAATAGAAACCTTAAAAGAACAGCATTTATTTTAAATATAAATCTTGTAACGTAAATAAATGTTTTTACTGTCACTTTTAATGAATCCTTGAAAAAAACAAAAACAACTAAAAGAACTCACTGACCCCAGTAGTGTTAAATCAGTTCAAAGTTCACTAGGGTTTGGAACAGAGTTTATAAGTGTGATCATGTGTGAGAAAGTATGCAAGAGCTTACCAGAGCTAGCTGTCGTCCAATATTCCCCACAGTTATTACCCCTGCGAAGAAGATACATGGCAGCCAGGACCGAATGTACAGGAAGTCAGGGGAGGTATATCTGCACACATTCACACATGGACAGTGAAGTACCAAACAAAATATCCAAGCAAAACAAGCTTGCATTGATGCAAGTGTAAGCAGTGCATCTTATAGTTACTGCTCTTGGCGTGAACAGGCTTTAACACACTACTTCTGTCATTTGGTGATACTTGTAACTACATTGTGCAGACTTATAACAGGGTGGGTATGAAACTCACTGAAAGACTCCGTTGTAAACCAGTAGCTGGGTGGCCAGTGTGGCAAGTATTGCAATGACAACTCCCAGCCCAAAACCACTGCGTGAACGATCGAACGTCCACCACAGGCCGACAGACAGGGCAGCCAGCGTCAATGACAGTTGCACATTATTGGCAAAGTCCACCTTCTGTTGGCAACAGTGTTAAAGATAACAAGTCGTACAAGAGCAATTCGTTTTTGTACAATCGAGTGCAGCAGGGATGATGCATTTTTGTAGGCCAAAACCCAGAAACAAGGTAGCATTTCTGGTTCCATTGTCCTGATGTCATTGGGTTTTTGAATGAGTTTTTGTTTAAAAGCCTGTAATAAGGTCGGTTGTTTACAAAAGCTATTTTAGATGCACATAAAATACATCAGTAATTCCCAATTGTGATTTTTCACCTATGTTTTATGGCGACTTTAAGATATAAACAATAAGTCATAAATAGCGGTAATTTATTGCAGCTTGACGGAATGACTTTTTTAGAGAAGGTCAAGAACAAGAAGGATACAGCACTGGCATGATTTATACCCACAAAGACGGCCACACAGCGCATCACATTAGACCACTCTCTCTTGAGCTTATGCGGCTCCCCCAGACGACGATCCATACAGGGGTACAGCAAACCTATCAACGCTGAAAAAAAGAAGAGTGACATTCAATTAAATGTCTCATGCAATGTCATCATAGATTGGGAATGACAGCAGCATTCATTTGTGTGAGAATCCTCTGTTATCATTTTGCATGACGGAAGCAGTTCATCCAAACACTGCTTATAATTGTGTTTCCTTACTAATAACATGTCGTGTGTGTGTTTGTGTACCTGCGGCTGTTCCACAGCAGGGAGGAACCCACCAGGCGGATGAGAAAATGCTGCTGATGACGTCAGGAGGGAAGAGAGTGACGTTACGCTGCACCTGTAGCAGGTTCAGCACGAGCGCTAGAAACACGCCCACCATAAAGAGCACGGCAGCACGGATCAGCACGTTCATGGTCCGATTGGTGATCATGCTGATGTAGGGCCCGCGGCGCATCAGAGCACCACTGCTCAGTGCCGAAACCTCCGCCATTGGCCGCTGTGACAGAAGGATGTCAGCTACATCTGCTGCTGTCAGCTGACATCACATGCCTGGAAAAGAGAAGGTAATAATAATGATGATGCTCATATAATCCCAAAACCCAGACATACCTGATTTCAGAATAACAATTATATTGACCAAACAGTATTTGCGTACCTGTGAATAGAATGGGGTTTTGTGCATTTGACATATTACTCATTCTATAATTGAGATTACATTTCATGGCTTTTTTCATTTTTCCTCATTTTATCTATTATGGGAAAGCATATTACAATTTCATACAAATACTGCGTGCACCTTATGTTTCCGTTTGCTAGAAACTGCCTTGATGCCTCTTAAATTACACTCTTTGTCTGTTTTTGAAGTGAGTGGGTCTTGAGTTCAAAATGATGAATAAAATAAAAAATAAGTCAAAATTATTACATTTATTTCTAACTCTTAACTATTTCTAAATAAATTAGTTTTTTTTTTTTTTATTAAATTAAAATTTAATTTAAGAAAATATTTTATTTTGCTTAAGTTCTGTCAACTATGTTACTGACCAAACAACCCCCTGCAAATAAAAAAGGTTTATCACAAGACTATTTGACCAGCATATTTATGTAGTGGACATTTTGAACACATATTGTATAATACATAAGTGTCCTCATTTTTTTCTTCAATATTTTATCTACAATAACTACAATATTGTCAAAGTATATTAATTGGCCATCAACTATGTTGGGAACATTGTTATGATTTTACATAAATTTAACTTGTTCTTATTCTTTAGAGCCATTTCTTGAATTACAAAGTCATCATGACTGCCTCCACTGATGACAATGAATTGTCTGCCGTAGTTTATATATATATATATATATATATATATCTCATAATTTAACCTTCTATGTGTTAGAGGAGTGTGTCCATGAGCTAACAATGTCTGCAATAGTTACCACACAAAAGCTGGTCTCCTTTAAAAGATGACAATCACCAGATTATTGCTGAAGTGAACGCATTTCAAAAAAAGAAAGTGTAAAAAAAGTTCTAGAAGTTTGTTTACTGTAAAGAAAATGTACTGTATTAAAAAACTTTGTATTTTATATAAAATAAATATTGTATATATATATTTTTTAATTATAGCTTCAGGCTATAATTTATATTCACACAGGTTGGAGATTTGCCATTTTGCATAACATCTCTAAAAATTGAAAATATCACATGGGTCTCTGCATAAATATGATTCTTAAAGATCAGTGTACATATGGCAGAACAGATAAAAGAAGCGTTAGATAGATACACGTGTTCCTTAAAGCCACAAGTGTAGCACTTAATCAGAGTGTGTAGTGGCATAGAGTCTGTCCGTAACATAGCTGACAAACTGACTAGGGAAACATCCATTCCCTTGTATTACCAAAATGGGGTTTAACGATTAAGCTTGACTAATAGCAGTTATGTTACACTGACAGAATATACAGTTGTGGCCAAAAGTTTTGGCAGTGACATAAATTTTGTGTTTTGCAAAGTTTGCTGCTTAAGCTGTTGTGGTGTTCATTCACATTGTTTCTAGATTATTGTTAGAGTGATCAGAGGCATTTTAAATAATTGCTAAAAGCTTAATTGGCCAAAAAAAGTTTTGATCCTGACACAAATTGACCAGCTAACATTAATTGACTCCTGAGGAGTCGGCTACAGAATCATATCAGCAGCACATGTGAAAGTGTGAAGTCTCCTCCTGAGGAGTCGGCTACAGAATCGTGTCACCACCAGTGCAGAGCTTGCTCAGGAATGGCAGCAGGTTGGTGTGAGAGCATCTGCACGCACAGTGAGGCCAAGACTTTTGGACAACGGCCTGGTGTCAAGAAGGGCAGCAAAGAAGCCACTTCTCTCCAAGAAAAACATCAAGGACAGACTGAAATTTGCACTTTTTTGTTTGTTGTTTTTTTTAGTTTGTTACTCAGACGCAGGTAGTGCGCTACATGAGACAAAAAAGTAATTTAGCCAAAACAACCGCATAGCCGTTCTTTAGTGTAGATGCATGTTGATTTTATCAGACGATGCCGCGATTATAAATGAGAGTGAGCATTTTCCAGCATGATGTAGCACCATGTCACAAAGCAAGAGTGATAAAGAAGAGGCTCGAAGATCATTACACTGAAATTTTAGATCCTTGGCCAGGAAACTCCCCAGATCTCAATCCCATAGAGAACCTGTGGTCAGTCAAGTCACCTTTATTTATATATCGCTTTAACTATACAGATTGTGTCAAAGCAGCTTTACAGTATCAAAATATTAAAATAGTGTGTCAATAACGCAAAAAGACAATAGTAAACACTCAATTTTCAGTTAAAGGCAGTTCATCATTGAATTCAGTGCTGTCATCATCCAGCTCAGTTCAGTTTAAATAGTGTCTGTGCAATCAAGTCGACGATACCGCTGGATTTTAAGTGTCCCCAACTAAGCAAGCCAGAGGCGACAGCAACAAGGAACCAAACCTCCATCGGTGACAGAATGGAGAAAAGTCAGTCCTCAAAAGGCGAGTGGACAGACAAGCAGAAGCCCACAAATTGTGATCAACTCCGAGAACTAATAAGGCAAGAATGGATCGCCATCAGTCAGGATTTGGCCCAGAAGCTAATATCCAGCATGCCAGAGCGAATTGCAGAGGTTATGAAGAACAAGGGTCAACACTGTAAATATTGACTCATTATATTTTTTTGCCAATAAAAGCCTTTAAAACTTATGATATGCTTATCATTGTTTTTCAGTATACCATAGAAACACGCGGAACAATAATCTACAAATACTGAAGCAGCAAACTTTGCAAAACACAAAATTTATGTCACTGCCAAAACTTTTGCCCATGACTGTATAAACTGAAACCAATAGTAATTTTACTGAGGAAGCATATTGTTTTCTTACTTTTTTGTTGAACGGTACCCTTAATTATAATGCGAGGCTTGTATTATCTATAATATCTATATTGTAAATCACTTTAGATTAAAAAAAACCTCTGACACACAAACACTTATTAGACACAGCATAAAAATCCCTGGTAACTTGGCAGGACTAGTTAAATATCTCTAGCTGTTAAAGGAGGCTGACCAAAGGCCACAGCAGCAGGAGGCCTTTCAGCACTCACCACGTTTACAATGTAAACAGACCTCAAACGCGTTTACCTGAATAACGACTGCGATTCATTAATAAAGGACACAGTGAACACAAAGTATGTCGAAGCTGATGAATTCTCCGAAACACCGTAATACAGCTAGACTCGTAGTTTGTGACCCAGGGAGGGGGAATAACGTTACCTTAAGCAGAGTTCATATGCAAAACGCCTTAACTTATTAACTTCATTGTAATAGATGACTAATACAATGTCACAACTCACTCACCGTGCTAACGCGTTAAAGAACTGTCTGTCTTCCTCTGAATTGAGATGTTAAAGTCCTAATCGAAGGAAGACCTTTCTTCCTGTTTTCCCCGCGGATAATGCTGGACTTCCGCCCCGCTGATCGCGCGCTGCCTCTGCAGCCAATCAGAGCGGGCGCTGGTGACGTAATACAGAAAATATTTAGTGAAGCTTCATAACGTTTTTTAGATTTGGGATCAAATTATGATTTCATTTGCACATACATTTAATTCAATATCATACACTGTCAGAATAAACATTTCAGTTTACACAGAAGAAATCCCGCCCAAATCTCGCGCGAGTTTGCGTGCCTCTTCTCGCCTCCCATTTCCGCTCTAAATTTTCACATTCCCGCCATCATCGGCTGCTCGTGGTACGCGAGCGCAGATAACATCATAGCCGGCAAAACTCACACACTGGCAGTGCGTCATCCTGAGCGGATACTTTCAGCCTCCAGCGCTTTCTTCGAGGAATTACCCTCCCGCAGGTAAACGAGATGCGGTTTGTGAGCTGATTTTGCGCTCGTTTTTTCTCGGAATGGTCAGTTAGCGGAGCCAAGCCTGTCACACGGCCTGGGCTGCTAATGCTAGTTAATTAGCTTCGTGGGGACGATGCGTGTGTGATTATTTCACAGCGGAGTGTGAGAATACGGCACGATACAGAGCCGCTTCAGCGAATCACTCGAGTGTTGCTTTGTTATAAGGCGGGGACGTGAGTGCTTGAAGTGTGCTGGGTGTCTAGGGAAGCTAGTCAAGCTGGTTCAGTTAAAGCGCGCGTAATGTCTTGACCTGATGTGTTTGTTTACTTTTCTCCTCACTCACCGGAACAGCTCTAAACACGCGGAACTCTTTGTGAGCAAATCTGATAAAGGAGAGCTTTGGGCATCGTTTTGATGCGTGACTTAATCAGTTCACTTTAAAACGGTAGAAGTTTGTCATACTTACGCTTAAGGCTTTTAGAGCAACAGTTTTGTGATTTGACTTAATGATTTAGCTTTATATCATGTGGAATATTTGCAAAGAAGTGGATGTAAGAAATGTAACGTAACAGTTTAATGCGGATTTTACACTGGCGCCTATTTTTGTGCTGTATGGATAGTTGTCGTTGATGGTTTTAAGTGACCGGGACATCATTCAATTACAGAAATGGTGTTAAATGTCATTTACGCGTTACTAGACTGATTGTATTGATTCACGGTGGTTTGTTGTTTGTGAGTCCGATTCATTTCCGGCACGTGGGTTGTGAGCTTTCTCGTTAAGCTGTTGGTTAACAGTTCATAGTTTTCAGTTTTCTTTTAAAACGTCTATTTACATTGATGCAGTGTTGGGGGTAACGCATTACAAGTAACGCGAGTTACGTAATCAGATTACTTTTTTCAAGTAACTAGTAAAGTAACGCATTACTTTTTAATTTACAAGAGAATATCGGAGTTACTTTTTCAAATAAGTAACGCAAGTTACTTTTTTTCCAAGTTATTGATTGACAGCTGTCCTGTCCCCATGTTGAGAGAAATCAGAAGGTTACTGTAGTAAATAAATATGAATATGCATTAATTCATCTCACTCACCGGAGATACTTTTTCAAATAAGTAACGCAAGTTACTTTTTTTCCAAGTTATTGATTGACAGCTGTCCTGTCCCCATGTTGAGAGAAATCAGAAGGTTACTGTAGTAAATAAATATGAATATGCATTAATTCATCTCACTCACAAAAAAACCCCACAGATTCAGTATTCCTCAAAATGAATAAAAATAATGCAACTCAGAATATGACGCAAACCTGCAATAATTAAATGTTAAACAACATAAATATCCTTTATGTATTTAATCCCATTCTATTAACCAATGTCTTTGCTTCTGACCTTCGATGATCCAGTTCAACTGTACTAATAAGCACAAATTACTCTAAACACACATTTGTGGGTCTTTGTTTATTGTCTTAAGTGTGTTGAAATTTGTTCTTCTGCATTTATACTGTACGGATGTAAATTTACTTTCCCTTCAGCCTGAGGCGTATTCATTTCACTTTTGGTGTGAAAAGGCTTTTATATTTGCCAAAAATAGAACTTTTTTATTTTAAAAACAAACAAGCAAGCCCTGTCCAGATTTAAAAAGTAACGTAACACATTACTTTCCATAAAAAGTAACTAAGTAACGTAATTAGTTACTTTTGTATGGAGTAATGCAATATTGTAGTGCATTACTTTTAAAAGTAACTTTCCCCAACACTGCATTGATGTGCGTTGGCTCGGTTACATCAGATGTGTAAAATGAAACACAAAGGAGCAAAATCGAGTGCTTTTGTTCAAAGAAGCACTTGTTACGCTCCCGCTTGCTGTATAAATGTCATCGCTGATGTTTGCGGGCGCACGGCTGTAATGTTTATGTTTCTGCGTCTCACGCTGTTTCACGTCGGACACTGTCTCTCGTCTGACACTGTCTCTCGTCTTTTGTCTGGGCTTTTGTTGCAGATTACTGGCCGCATCTGTTCGCCTTCAGTTGTGCCCCGAGCCGGAGTTTTGAGCGCCTCTCGCACTCATGGCCGTCGCAGTGACCAAGCTGACCAGCGGTGGTGCTGTCCGCATCCGCATCAGATGTGGGGAGCTGGGGACCACCAAATGGAAAGAGGGGGTCTTTGAAATCCATGAGAGAGACAACAAAATAAACCTGCTAGTTAAGTTCAACAGTGGCGGAACTCCGAGAATGTTTCAGGTACAGAACTATTTTTTAATTTACACCCGAAAGCCTGACATATGATATAATTGTCAGAAAAAAACGTGCTGCTGTTTGTTGAGCTTCGTATGCAGTGTTGGTGCAGTTGCTGATATTTATATGGCCTAAAAGATGAAATTCTGGTAGTTTGTAATGTAAATCAATGTGGTCTTTATAACCGTATAGCAGATTACTTGCATAAAATGCTTATGAATATCATTTGTCACTCTATATCACACAATATTGTCTGTAAGTTGATTTTAAAAAGTTTACGATCAAAACTTTGTAGTTTTAATTGTTTGAAACATAATGCAATACGATACAATGAAGATTGAAAGATGAACAACTAACATTCTTCAAAATCCATATTAGATACTCGCATTTTAATACAATTTATCTTTAAAACAATTCCATGGATAATCAAGTAAACCTGAGTAAATGTTCATCTTGAAATATTACAATGGAAAACATTCTAACGTTAATAAAAATTAGTAAAGTTTTCACAGCTAAAAGACACATGAAACACAAGCTGAAGGTGGATGGTTTTACAATTACACTAAAAGGCTTTTTACTTGCTGAAGTATTAACTATCATTCAGAAAACAGAAGACATGTAGTAGATTATGTATAGGCAAGTTTGATCGTGTTGGTAGTTTTGATCCTTAGAAATGTGTATGTAATACAGAAATATCTGTAAGGTTCTCCTTAGAGACATGCGGTGTCATTTTAAGACATGAGCATTAGGCTTGCCGCAGTGCTGACGGTGATACCGGTGTTAAGCAGCAACACCGGTTACGTCACTTGCCCACCGCGGCACCAACCCCCACCGTCGTTTAGATTTTTTATAGAAATAAAAAGAATTTAGTTCAGTAAAAGAACAGACACTACAATTAAAAACTCAACGCGGCTGCTCAATGCAGCGTGCCGAACGACAGTCGCATCACAGATCAGATTTCATTTCTCCAGTGAGGAGAGTGAGTCGAGCTGACTGACAAGAAGAGTGAGGTGAGACAGACAAGACGATGGCGGATGATTTAGTTTTGAAACTAAATGCAAAAGCACCTGTTTGGCAGTATTTTGGATTTTGAAAAGCCTGTTGACTTTTGCCGTTTATCTAAGGTGATTTTGGAAGTTTAGCCGGATAACGTCCACACCTGGCCGCAATGGGCTGTCTGAGAACAGGTGTGCAAATTTGCCCTGGCAATGACTTTAGATTTGGGTGCAGTGTCTCTGGAAAGTGTGTGCACTTTTTGCTCAGTTGTTATCAGTTGTTTGCTCACATGTTATCTTAATTTAATGATGTTCATTTAATAATGATTGCCCTGACCACAACTAAAAATTATTTTGTCCAGTAGGAGTGAGAAGAGGAAGAGGCTGATGAACTCTGATGGTGATATGACCGAGGACTACCCCAAAGAGAATGACTCTTCTAGGTAAACGAGACTTCATCTAAGTGCAGATTTATTTTGATACTCTAATGTTCAGAAGTTTGGGATCATTTAAGAATTTTTTCCCGTTTTGAAAGAAATTAAGTTCTGTTTAGAAAGGATGCATTAATTATTTAACAGATACAGTAAATCCATTTGTAAAAAAAAAAAAAATTGTTTAAATAAATGCTTTTCTTTGGGACTTTGTATTCATAAAAGACTCCTGAAATTGTTTAAATATTTCCCAAAAAATATTAAGCAGTATTGTTTTCAACATTAATAATAAAAGTTTTCAAATCCGCATATTAGAATGATTTCTGAAGGATCGTGTGACAGAAGGCTGGGGTAATGATGCTGAAAATTCAGCTTTGCATCACAGAAATTATTAAAAAAATAAAAATAAAGTATATATAAATTAGATTAATTGCCACACCATGTAATTAGATAGAATATATAATGTAATGTATACCTACATACATACATGTATATGTGTGTGTAATATATTGTAGCACAATTACAGTTATTACTATTATTTTGCCATAGTGAATGGGGAAAACTGTTTTGCGCTATTTTTTCTTTAGCTCATCACATGCCCGTTACTTAATTGTCCATTAGATTCTCTAATCTTGGGAACACCTGTTACATGAACGCCATACTCCAGTCACTTTTCAGCCTGCCCTCATTTTCAAATGACCTGTTAAAGCAGGGCATACCATGGAAGAGGGTCCCCGTCAATGCCCTTCTGAGGTATGGTCATGCTGTTTTTTTCCATCTAAACTAGATACTTTTTGGACTATTTTAAACATTCATTCAAAATTTGAAATGTAATGATCTACTCACAAGCCTGTTGATGTTGTGTTTTTGTTTCCATGTGAAGGCGTTTTGCTCATCTGCTGGCTAAGAAAGACATCTCCCCTCCAGAAATGAAGAAAGATCTTTTGCGGCGAGTAAAGAACGCTATTTCCTCAACAGCTGAGCGTTTCTCTGGTTACATGCAGAATGTAAGACATGTGACATCTTTATTGCTAATGTAGATGCATCTGACTTGAGGCCCGTTCACACCAATGATAACTCTCCTGTTTTAATAATCATTATTCTTTACTATAACATGAACGACACAGAGGAGTGATTTTGTCGGAATCACATTCAGAACAGTTTGTTTCAGCTGCTGAGCGACAAAAACATTAACAGCCAATCAGAATCTGATTTCAAAGAGCTTGAGTGACGGATGACAGAACTACATAATAAACAATTTTATTGCCCGTTGGTATAGATGCTAATCTAGTTCTCATCGTCTTTACAGTAGTTGTTCTTGGTGTGAATGAGGCTTTACTGTCACATTATGTTCATATGATGCAAGTGCCAATCAGCTGTTTGTGCCCAGGATGCCCATGAGTTCCTGAGTCAGTGTCTAGACCAGCTGAAGGAGGATGTGGAGAAGATCAACAAAAGCTGGAAGAACGAGCCCTCGGCCTGGGAGGAGCCTCAGAGCGCACGGTTAACAGAGGAGGTGGACACCTCACGCATTTACACCTGCCCGGTTACAGTCAACATGGAGTTTGAAGTGCAGCACACCATAACATGTAAAAGGTGAGTTGGCAGAGTTTAAAAAAGAGGCCATGTGTAATAACTATGTGCTTGACATGCTGACCCAGTCCTCTCTTCCTCTGGTGAACAGCTGTGGAGAGGTGGTGACGAAGCGTGAGCAGTTCAATGACCTGTCCATCGACCTGCCGCGCAGGAAAAAAACTCTCCCTCTGAGATCCATACAGGATTCTTTAGACCTCTTTTTCAGGGTAAGACGCTGCATCATACCAGCTGTAAAATGTGAATGATCAAAACACTAAAGTACTGTTCACACTAGGCTTGCCGCGATAGACGGTGCTGACGGTGATACCGGTGTTAAGCCGCAACACCGGTTACGTCACTTGCCCACCGTGTCACCGACCCCCACCGTCGTTTAGATTTTTTATAGAAATAAAAAGAATTTAGTTCATTGTATTTTGTTGTTGCATTCAAGCAATTGACGCCTAACTTCCGCTAATTCAAAAGTGAAAGTAAAATGCTCATGGCGCTTTTAAGCTATTTAAAAGCGACGGAAAAGAGGGAAAATTCAAACGAACTAAAAACGAACAAATGCTTTATGCCGAATTGCCGCTGTTTCAAAGTGAAAGTAAAATGCGCACGCACTTTTAGAAGCTATTTAAAAGTGAAGGAAAGCTAGAAAAAGAGGGAACGCCCCCGCGGTGATACCGGTATTATCGGTGTTGTCACACGTCGATTAACCGGTGGGAAAATTTCCTCACCGTCACAACCCTAGTTCACACCAAGATGAATGTTTAATGATAAACGTTTTAATTTGATAAACAGCTGTTAACGCGTCTGTTCAGACCGGCATTTACAATGATTGAGGAGATCGATTCATTTGATGAGTTTAATTTCACAGTATGTTACTCAAGTGTTCATAACCTGTTGACTTTGTGTTTGTAGATGGAGGAGATTGAGTATTCCTGTGAAAAATGCAGTGGAAAAGCAGCGACTGTCTCTCACAAATTTAGCAGGCTTCCCAGGTTGGAATGAACAGACACACATACTTTAGGTTGTGTAGATTAATTTGTGGTCAATTGAAAACATTTGAATGACTCTCTTTCTCTGCAGGGTGCTGATTCTTCACCTCAAACGCTACAGCTACAATAGTCAGCTGTCTTTAAACAGCAAGCTGGGCCAACAAGTCCTGATCCCCAAATATCTCACGCTGCTCTCACACTGCACTGACGCCACACGCCCCCCTCTCAGCCTCGGCTGGAACGCACAGACGGCCATGTAAGACTCACTCTTTTACTCGCTCTCGTTAAGTGTTACACCCTTCATACTCACTAATGGCTGATTTCATTTCAGCTCCAGGACGCTGAAGATGTCACAGTCAGTCAACTCTTCAACACTACGGTGAGAGCAGCCCCCTGATGTGCATGCTAAGAGTATTTACTCTTGATTCATACTCAGGTGTTTTAAATCGGTGGTTTACAGGAAAGGTTCTCAAAAGCCAGAGAGCTCAGGCAGTATGCTGTGTGATTCTGATAGTGAGGAGGAGCTCGTCAGAAAAGTTGGTCGCAAACATCATTCAGAAGATGACAGGACGGAAGAAGTGAGAAGAATAGCTGTCTTCACATCTGTTTGTTTTTAATTAATTGCTTAAAGCTGTCCACATGGCATTTGTGAATCAAATCAAACACTACATTTGGTTACTTGATGCAGCAAGCTATAATCTACAAAGGTGTAATGTCACAAGCAGGGTTACTGTTGTAAACTCAAACTAAAACATTTTTGTTAATTGAAATAAAGCTGAAATAAAATGTAAATCTTAAATGAAAATATTTCAGTTAGGCAACATTTCTAATTTAAGTTGAAGCACTAAAAATAGAAGCACTGGAAGTGAAATAAAAAGTTATTTAAAATGGACAAAAAAGCAAATAACTGACTAAAAATGTAAAATTCAAATAAATAAAATAATTCCAAAGCTTAATAAAAACTAATAGCTTACAAATAATACTAAAATAACACTGGCACAAGCACTGAAGATTGTGTGAGGTGTTGAACAGACATGCTAGAACTTAAAACTTATGCATTTGACAAATTATAGATCTTAACAATGGTGTTAAATGGCAGAATTGTAACAAATATTTGCAATACTGTTCAAAAGTCTGTGGTCGGTTAGATTACTTTTGGAAACTAAATACTTTCGGAAAAAAGTCTCTTATGCTCACCAAGGCTGCATTTATTTGATAAAACCATTGATGCCTAAACTTAATTATCAGCAGCCATTATACCAGTATTCAGTGTCACATGACCCTTCAGAAGTCTTTTTAATATACTGATTTAGTGGTCAAGAAGCTTGTTGTGCAGCTTAATATTTTGTGGTAAATTTTCTTCAGCATTGATTGCTTAAAATATAAATCTTTTGTAAAATTGTAATTGTCTTTACTGTAGCTTTTAATGTATATTTTCTAAAAAAAAAGTATTAATTCCTTACACACACACACACAAAAAACTTACTGACTTCAAAGTTTTGAGCGGGGAGTGTATGTATTTAAATATTTGACCGTGCATGTGACTAACTTGCTTTTTGTGTTCAGGTGCAGCACAATGCACAGGTCGAGCACTCCGAGTTTAACACCATCAATGATGATGAGATGCTAGCAGCTGTGCTGGAGATGAGTCGCCACGACACTAGCCCTGATGACGAGCCAACCAGCAGCCCAGACACAGGGTTTGGAGATGCTGACGGGCAGGACCTGACTCATCATTTGGACCTTCTGGATGGAGAGAAACAGCCTGCAGGTAAACTAGAGTTTTAACTAGTGATTTAACCGATATGTTTTTTTTTTTTTTACAACCGATGCCGATATCTTGGAAAGCAGGGTGGCCGATATAATTTTATTTATTTTAATTCATATTTAAGAAATTTTAAATCATTTGAAAATGGATTAAAAAATAAACGTGTAAAATAAACATACTTATACTCTATATATTTTTCACAAATAAATGAATATTTAATAAAAATATAATTAAAAAGGAAGTAAACACTGTAACCAACAGGGCACTCAGTATTCTGGGAAGTTTGTGTGCATTGGGAATCATATTTTTTCAAATAAAGCCAAGGTAACACTCATTTTACATACAGCACACAGTGAAAATGACATGAATATGACAGTGGGCAAATGCATAAAGGGCAGCATAATTTGAAATCAGTCACGAGTTTAAAGTTTGTCGATCGTTCGTCTCCAGTGAAGCTGAACTCTCCCTCCTGTCCGTATTCAATTCGCACGGACCATAGGACCGACCGTCACAGAACACGCGATCATGCAGGTCACATGCACACTTCACAAGATCTCAACTAGATTCGACTAAGTCTGCAAGGTTTGTGAAATTAAATGTTCATTAGTCATTCAAAGATTTGTTTAAATTATATAAATGCGTATTTGCGGAATGCTGATTGCAAACAAGAAAGTATTATAATGTTTGCCTTTAATAATATTAAAGCAATCGTTATAATACTTTTTTTGTATACATTTTAATTCCTTTGTTTAACAGTTCTATCTGATTATTAGATAGACTTCTATCCGTATTAGACAGAACTGAATGACAACAGCGAACAAGAGGGAGAATGTGAGCACTGTGTGCTCAGGCACTGCTGCAGCTGTTCTTGGTGCCGTCAAAATAAAAGTCCTGCCTCGAACACATCGGCCAAACAGAAAAACTTATCGGCCGATGCCGATATTTGAAAAATTATCGGTCGACCACTAGTTTTAACTAGGTTTCATGCTTATATTCCCAGCCTACAATGTCTAGAGTTGTGTGTGTGTTTATTGTTTGGTTTGTGTCTAGATGCTCTGGAGTCTCTAGATCTGACCATGGATGAGAATAAGGAGAACCAGACGCCTGAAGGTGTGCAGGGAGAGCTGGACTGGGTGCAGCAGTACAGTTTAGACCAGGAGCGAGAGGAACAGGAGCTGCAGCAGGCCCTCGCACAGAGCCTACAGGAACATGTAAGGACCATGATACACATCTTATCCACACTACTGCTACATTCGCTTTAAATAAATCTATCCATTATTTCTCTGTTTTATGAATTTAAAAAAATTGTAATCATCATAATACTTGTGTTGTGGACTTCGATTTTACAATTCTTGATCTTGTGAATTTTTTACCTCGTGTAATTTTGTCAGTCTAAATTCTCCCTCAAATTGCATTTGTGTCTTTGTGTTTATTTGCTGATGAAGCACAGCCAAACTTAGAGGTCATCCTGTTTGAGTTTTTATTTTTGAGTGAATCTCATTGAACCGGTCAAAAACATGTCCAGGTCATATATCACTGCAAAATCAAAAGAACATAATTGTGGTGTGTTTTGAATATGAAACATTTTAAGGACAGTTTTAAAATCTTGATGAATCTATTTGTTCGAGAAGGGGGAAAAAAGAAAAAAAACAAAAAACTTTCTTGGATGTGTTATGGTTATGAGACTTATAGGAGAGTATCTGTTTTACTGTGCCAAAAAAAAAATTTCATTCTTCATTCTGTTCAAGATGTTTTGTATTTTTTTCATATTATTGCCATATTATTATAATCACCATCTTGGTCTTTTAGCACAATCTTCTTAGCAGCTGTACTTTTCCAGTGTTGTTCATCCTTGACGTCAGCACAACTTAACTGATGATGATAATGATTGTTGTACAATGAATATTATCTGTGTTAATTGCACAGGAGGCGAGAGAGATGAGGGAAGATGATGATCTGAAGAGAGCCACTGAGCTCAGTCTGCAAGGTCAGTATGACACACCCAGAACATTGTGTTCTGTGTCACATTATCTTGGTTAATGTGAATGTTTGCGTTGTAGAGTTTAATAACTCTTTGCCGGAGCTGCTGTGCTCTGATGACGACTCTGGAAATGAAGATGGTCTGGATATGGAGTACAGTGAGGCTGAAGCTGAAGAGCTCAAGAAGAATGCTGAGGTGGGTCTGAGACCCTCGGTGCGGTTTGAGAAGTGACCGTTTTCTGGGCATAGTTTTAATGATCGTGTAATGATTTGTTGTTTAGACTGGAGAGCTTCCGAACTCTTTCAGACTCATCAGTGTGGTCAGTCACATCGGCAGCAGCTCATCATCAGGTACTGGTGTCTTTTAGCTCATGTTGTTTTTGCACTGCAGGCCAAGTACAGTTTCATCAGGTGCTCTTCGTCTTTTTCCTCCTATAGGGCATTACATTAGTGATGTGTATGACATGAAGAAACAGTCCTGGCTCACATACAATGATCTGGACGTCTCCCGCACACAGGAGTGCACTGTTCAGAGAGATCGTGACAGGAGTGGATACATCTTTTTTTACATGCACAAGTAAGTCTTTTCTTTCGTGATGCATGTTGAGCCGTGTTGCTGTGTCATGGTAATCCAGGAATGAGTCTATTATCGTTTTATTTATTTTGTGAAGTTCTCTTGTGTGGATAAATACACGTAATCCATGCATATTAGGGCTGAGTAAAAAAAATATTGATTTCTCAATCGATTGATCGATACTCATTTTTATGAAACGGTATCGATTCTTAAATCACTTAAATTGTGGGAAGACGTCAATATAACAGCTTATAACAACTCTACAAAGGAGCATTTTGCTAAATATATGCACCATATAACACATTCATTATAATTTTTACTGTTCTTCAATATTTAATTCGACTGTTTATGACTAAGTTTTTATAAATTTATATTTAAAAAAAAAACATTGGAGTATAAATCTAATTATTACTATTTATATGTAGAAATATATGTAATTGTAAAGTTAGTATTATCATTTTAATATTTTAAAAACATTTTAGTGTTTGTATACAAATCAGTTAATTTGAACCTTTAATATTGCAGGAATGTAGTACCAACTAACTCTCATGTATATTTTACAGCATTAGTTGAGATTTTATTTTTCTTCCTTGAGGAAATTTTTCATGCACTGTTACCTGATATATATCCAAAATAATCTAAATTGAATCTGAATGTAATCAAATCGCAAGCTTGTGCATATTAGTGAACGAGACCCAGTGTTTGTGAGGATGGTGGTGTTGTGATCTGATGAGATGTGTTTGTGTTCAGAGATGTGTTTGAGGAGCTGTCTGAGCTGGAGAAGGCAGGAGGGAACAGTGAAGCCGGTCGCACAGTGCTGCAGCCGCTATAAACACTCTGGCACGCTTCTAACATCCCATCCGGTGGATCCTTCTGCTGACGAACAGCTGAACTGAGCCAGGGGTAAACGCGACTCCCTTCATCAGTACTACTGAAGACCAATCCACACACACATGCACCTACTTTGGGCACTTTTCCTTTTCTATTTCTCTTTCACGTTTCCCATTGCTCCCTGTGAAATACTGTTGCCATATTAAATGCAGACTTGCAGTTCGATGGGTAAATGTTCTAGAAACTCATAGATACTAAATGTTTATGGGGAAAAGCAAAGAAAATAAATAAATGTATAAATATAGAAAGCATTTTGAGTTTCTCAGAAGGTGTAACTTCAACCTCAAGGAAGTTGCTCTTTTGTTTGTTTGTTCGTTCTTTTGTTTAAATATTTTGTTGAAAAGACCCTCTGGTAAACTTTTGCATTAAGAAATATTGAGAGCTTGTTCTCTATCATTTTTTTTTTTTTTTCCCTTTCCCCTCTGCAAATTTTAAATTTCTGATCTATTGCATATAAAAATTTATTCTTGTATATGTTTGGGTGGAATATGGGGTGTCTGTCTTGTTTGATATGCAGCTGAAAATGTGGTGCAATATTTGCTTTGCCAGTTGGCTTTTATATGACCTATAGTGATGAAGAGAGACTTGGAATAGTACTGATTTATATTCAAGGCTTTACTGATGACTGTTTGTCGTTTTATTCTTATTTTATAAACGTTAATCTAACAAGCTCCGTGGTATGGATGTAGCTTGTCTTTTTTTTAAAGATCTCACTTTAAGAATCTTTATGCCTCTTCAACACCTACAGACCTAGTGAAATAATTTAGTTTTTTCTACTCTATAGAGCTTTACAGTGTGAAGTTGCACAGCCATTGTGTAGAATATCTGTCTTCAGAAAGACCTCAAATGAAAAACGCTCACACATCTTTACTGAATATAGGGAGCATCGGATGAGAGTGCTTCACATGAAGTCCGCTAATATTATTTATTTTAGGATCTTGTTCTTTGTCTGATTTGTACTGTACTGTCCTGCTCATTTTCATGTCTTCGGTAACCACTGCATTCATGTTTTCTGTTCTGATCACCCGAGTAGGTTCATGGAAGAGTGGGACTTGTTTGGACATTGTGTGTATGGTGTTCTCTGAAACAGTGGTATAAGCTCTACTTAATTGCTTAGTATTCGGACTTCCTTAAACATTTTAAATAAAATTTATTTAGAAAAAAAAGGAGTTTGTTTCATTTGGCTTTAATTCAGACTTCTCAGTAGTGCGTGTTAGCAGCAAATGTGTTCCCCGACCCATTTACGGCCCAAGTTTTCTTTCAAGAATCGGTCTGGTGTGTATCGTCGCGTGTCCTACGCGCTTCTCTTTGTGAGTGGCTCGAGGTGGCTGCCTGTTAGCCTGTTGAACTCGCTGAGAATGTAACTTTCTTTCTGCTGCATCTGTCAAAAAAAAAAAAATGAAAATAGGCAAACAATTGATAGTCTGAGAGAGAAAACTACTTATAAGAAGATGGGCTATTTGTTACAAAAGGTTCAGTTCAATAGTCCAACTACACAATGCTTTTTTTTCTCACTCTAGCAGTGATTCTCATTTAAAACCTTAACTTACTATATTTTTGCAAGTTGCAATATTTTTAATAGCCCTTGGGTAACAGGTGCACACAATAGAAAAAACAGGACAATTGTCAAATATAATTTAGGTAGAAGGCTATTTTTCATAAATGCCAATTTCCATAGTATTTAATGCCATTTGATAGCATGTACATTTTTTTTTTTATATTGTGGATCTTACTGAATATCGAAAGAGTTGAAAATCACTGCTTTAGTTCTGTTCTCATTTTGTTCCTACAAGCAATTTATATATTTTTCAGCCATTAGTGTGACAGACTAGAGCCAATCCTCTAATGAAATGTAAATGTGTCCTACCTCGTTCCACTCCTCTTCAGTTTCGTGTCTGTATCCCAGTAAGTGGCAGATCCCATGAGCTGTGACCACCTGCGCAACGCCACAAAAAAAGCCATTTGAACAAACCTTTATGAAATTCCTGCCAGGCTACAGATATAAATGTGATGAAACTACACATCTCTCTTACTGTAAGTGCTTCATGAAGATCCTGGGATGTCTCTTTACACTGTTGCATTACATACTCTACACCTAAGAAGATGTCGCCTAAGTTATACTCGTCTCTTTGGAGGGCACATGGGATTTTGCCTGGCCTCAGATCCTTGGAAAATGACAAACTTCAGCCATTATTTTTCCTTTAACTGGTAAGACATGGGTTACTTCAACTGCCACCAAAAGCAGACATGCTCTAGCCACCTGTCAACGGCCAGTGTTTATATATAACACATTTCAGGCCATGTACAAATAGTGTGTATATAGCCAAATAATAAATCAAGCGTGACAGCAGCTGTACCTCATAGTAAGGGAAGGACAGCACATCTGTGGGCTGGTTCTTTTTCCTGTAGATGTGGTTGAAGCGTTGAATCCTGCGGTTGTCCACGCATATGATGCCCATGTCAAACTTCTGGACCCCAAAGATGTGCCTCAGGACCTCCACATCTTTGCGCAGTTTGGCGCGTCTCACGGGAACCACATTCTGCAGATTCCGCAGAACTACACCCATAGTGAAAGTAAAATTAAATACAATAAATAGAACCTAAAATCCACACAACCTGCTGTTTTTTTTTTGTTTTTTTTGTGCGCTTGTCACCTTTCACAAGGTCACTAGGAATGTATAAACGTATTTACGTTGCTGCCTACGGACAAAAAAAAAAACGTCTATACGTATTAAGGAAACTTCTGTGAACATATAACAACACCATTTCGACAAAATTACCCTGGGCCCGACTTCACCCTGGCCATTGATTTGGAAACTGAAAGTGCGCATGCGCCAATCGTTCAGTCGTGTGAACAGGAAGTTGAAAAAAAAGTGTCAAAATAAAAGTTCTGTCATTGTGTTATCAAAAATGTCGAATAGTTCAAATCTTTTCTGAATGATAGCAACTCAACATTTTTATATACATGTGTACAATATGTATACCTGTTTCATTTAACTTCGTATTTATTTCGAAAGCGCAGTGACGTTAACTAGTCACCGGAAGTAGAAACTGAACTTCCGGGATTGGTTGCGCGTTCATATTGGAGGTCACTTTGCTGTAAAATAAAAAGGTAATTATTCTGCTATTTAACACACTTACAAAACATTTACACCGCTTTTCGTGTAAGTTTACTTTAGTTTAAACTAGAGGCAGGATTTATTTTTCTACTGAAAACAGCACCAGAGTCAGTCTCTGCGGCTTAGGTGTCATAAGCTGGTTCGCTTGTGTTGTTTCTGTTTGTATATTAACACCACTGGACAGCCAATTAGTTAAACGAAACCATTTAGGTACAACTAACTGATCCGTTGCAGTCTCAAAATATGCATTTAACCGCCCCTGTACACACAAGCTTTAGCCTACATTTTAACCGTACGTTTTGGGTGACTCTCATTTGAATCGCTTCGTTCATAAGCTCATCAGTGGAGTGATTCAGGTGAGTCGACTCTAATGACTCGAACTTGGCACACTGAAAGAGACACTGCGTAGCTTCATAATTCTACAACTGTTGCATTAATAATGGTGAGGTGTCTTCAACAGCAGTCATGGGTGGGGATCACGGACATGGCAAATTGTCCATGCCAGACTACAAAGTGTGGAAATGGGAAGGAACGCCACTGGAAATGACCCAGCAGAGGCTTGCTCGAAGAGGACTCTGGGATCCCTGGGCTCGGTAAGATCATCGAGTTTCAGATACTTGCTCCTGAATTGTTTGCCTGGAGTCCTCTATAGCATGCACCATGACATTAGTATCTGAATATATAGTGTGCATTTAAATTCTGGCTCACTCCTGTGTATTGCGATTAGAATTATAAAAGTGAGTTAAAGGAATAGTTCACCCAAAAATGAAAATTTGCTTTAAATTTACTCATGCCTCAGGGCTTCCATGATGTAAGTGAGTTTGTTTCTTCATCAGAACAGATTTGGAGAAATTTAGCATTATATCACACTTGCTCACCAATGCAGTGAATGGGTACCGTCAGAATGAGAGTCCAAACTGCTGATAAAAACATCACAAGTAATCCACACCACTCCAGTCCATCAATTAACGTCTTCTGATGTGAAAAGGTGTGTTTATAAGAAACAAATCCATCAAGACGTTTTAAATGTAAAAGCATCACTTCTGTGCTATTTTGACAGAAGCGCTTGCTATGTTGTTGTTATTATTATTATTATTATTATTATTATTATTATTACTGGTCTTATAGGGTAGACGAATATCGAAGTATGATATGAGCAGGGTGCGAATTACGGGGGGTTTGGAGGGGTCTGACCCCCCTAAAGAAAGCTTGACCCCCCTGAAGGACGTCAAAACTAGGTCTGATAGAAAGTAGCCTATGCATAATATGGAGATTTGCTTTTAAAAGATGCATTTCTGTAGCTCTGACTGATTTTAAACTGTAATTCTGGCAGTCCCTGAAATGGATCATCTCTGGGTGAAATACGAGTCCATAATATCACTTCCTCCAGTGAAAATGTCCATCTCCTGTTCTCCTCTCACATCAAAATCCACCCACATATTTGATTAGAACTATTTTAGACTGTTTTCTCTTGTAAACGGTGCTTGATCTGTGCATATTTCTCTCCTCATTCAGACAAGACCCTTTTTCACTGGAGAAAGCAGTATTATGAATAGAGGACTCGTATCTTAGCCAGAAGCAACAGTTAGTGATGGGCGCGTTCGAAACACTGCTTCACGAAGCTTCGAAACATTTGCCAATCTTTTGTTTCGAATCAGTGTTTCGGAGCGCATATCAAACCGGCCAGGTCACGTGATTTTAGCAAACGAAGCTTCGTTACGTCGCACGGTTTCGAAACGTTTTGAAACTCCGATGGTTCACCACTAGGGGGTGTTTATCTCAAAGTGAACCCATGAACCACTTCTGGTTGCCTAGTTAATCATGTGATATGAAATCCCACAAAATTTTACTATTAAAATAATGAATTCGGGGGCCAGATGTTGTGGGTTAAACAAAAGATAACCTCCCTTTAACAAAGATGGCTATATAGTTTAAAAAATGTGTAAAAACATTCAGTACTTTCAACCTACAAATCACATCATATCTTAAAAATAAAAAAAATGAGCTTACCATAGAATTAAATCCACCTCCTTCTTCTGACTGATAACACTACTTTTGCTTGCTGGTTTTACAGAGAGCTCTAATGAAAACACTTAAAGGGGTCATATGATGCTTTTTTAAAGATCGTTATTTTGTGTATTTGGTGTAACAGAATATGTTGACATGCTTTAATGTTCAAAAAACACATTATTTTTCAAATCTTATCTATGTACAATCAGCTTGTAACACTCCAAAGAGAAAGGAAAACTTGAAATCGCATCATATGACCCCTTTAATTTATTAAATTACATAAATCAATTAATTCATTAAATAATTGAGTTCATTGTGTGTTAAGGGTTTGATTATACTTCAATAAAACACATAACACAAGCACTAATATTTAATAGTATTTAAGTGTTTATGTATTTAAAAAATATTGTATTTCTAAAAAAACATTTCCGTTTGTTTTGTAAGTTTGTTCTTGATGATTTTACAACGTTTTTACCAGCAGGTGTCGCCAGCATGTGCGGTTTCAAGTGCTTCGAAACATCGAATCATTTTTTTGAAGCAATTGGTTCAGTTGATTCAATGCTTCGAAAAGCTTCGTTTCTCTCATCACTAGCAACAGTTTTAAAGTAAAAAACAAAACAAAAACATCTCAAGTATTTTTTCTTTCAAACATGCACCGTTTCACTTCACAAGATGTTAGTTGATGGACTGGAGTGGTGTGGATTGCTAGATGTTTTTATCAGCTGTTTGGACTCTCATTCTGACGGCACCCATTCACTGCAGAGGATCCATTGGTGAGCAAGTGATGTAATGCCACATTTCTCTAAATCTGTTCTGATGAAGAAACAAACTCTACAACAGTCTACTTACTACATCTTGGATGACCTGAGGGTGGGTACATTTTCAGCAAATTTTAATTTTGTTTTTGGGGTGAACTATCCCTTTAAATTGAACAGGAATTCTCTTAAAGTGACTTATAGGCCATTGTTTCAGTGCATTCAGTCTTATATTATCCTCAAACCGTCAAATATGTTATAAAATGATGATTAAAATGTTTAATATTTAAAACTCTTCTGTACATTTAATGTTAGCAGTGCTTTATTATTTAATTTTTATAGAACAGGACATTATGAAAGTAAGAAAATGAAGGACTAAAGGATGACAACGTTTGTTTTCGCAGGAATGAGGCGTGGAGATATACGGGCAGCTTTGGCGTCCCAGTTACCTTCCGAGACGTTCTCCTCCGTGGATTTAAGACAGGATTCGCAGCATTTGCAGTGGCACTGGCAGTGGAGTATGCGTTCTTCCCTCCAAAGAAGTCAGAGCACTAATAGCGTGGCTAAAGCTCAGTAGAGCCAGTCGCTGCCGGACTCTGTGTTTGCTGCAGGTTTTAAGCCTGTTGTTGTCTATCCATGAAGACGTTAGCCCATGAAAGGCTTCCTAATACCTGTGCTCATTCATGGTTATGTTTCCTTTCACCATTCTGTAAAATAAATATAAATTAATCGAATTGGGCTGGGTATGTTTATTGGCTATTATAGTCCAACCTTTAGAACTTAATTTAACTTGAAATTACTATTGTAAAATGCTATTCTTTAAATAAGTATAAATACCAGTGATTTGCATGTTACATTTCCTGAATGGGGTGCATTTCCTGAATATGAAGAGATTAACATGAATGCAAATCTAAGATAATATTCTGACTATGACATCCTTAACTTTCTCTCTAATGTACTGTTGTGTGCTTAAAGTGTATGTGTCTTTTTGCTTTGTTGTGCATACTGAGGTACGAATCAAAATGATTGTCTCTGGCATTGCACAGATGCTGCCAATTAGATCGGAAGGTTAATATTTAATTTAATGGGGAACTGTGTGTGTAAAATATCATTAAGGTCAACTTTTAATCTGTGGACTTCTCTTCCAGCTAAACTGAAATAGCTACCAGGAGAGGAACAGGTTACCAGAAGTTAGATGGAGCTTACTTATTAACACTATCTTGCTAGACATTGTTTTACACTTTTTCATATCCAGTAAGTTTTTAGTTGCAGTTTTATGTGATATGAAGTTTAGCTTGTAAAAGGCTGGTTATAGTATTTGTTCTACAGTGAAAATGTTCATAGAATCCTTTTATATAACAGTTTGACCAAGAGAAGTCGGTACATCTTTAAATGTCATCAAACATAACCTTTAAGTATATTGGAACCAAATGCAGGCACATCAGTATAAGCAATGCAATGTCAGATATTTACAGTAATCTAGCATAAGAGGGAGTACGCTACGATGTGCTAGTTAAATATAAGAATATGAAGAGAATATGTGGTTTGTTCACTTTCTCCCCAATTTATATAATCCAACAACAACAACAAAAAAACGCGAATTTGGCCAAATGCCCAAATAAGCACGCATTTGAATTACGTAGTAGAGGAACGTTTTGTTTCACACTTACATTTCGAAGCTGTAAAAGTGTCATTACCGCTATTCATTCGCGAGCAGATGCTCCATTCAGTCCGAAGAACGGCTCTCTTGAGGTAAGGTTTACAGTTTTGTCTTTTAATGCGAGAATATTCGAAGTTCTTGACTTAATCTCCACATAAAACACGTAGCCACATACAGTTTTTTTTAAATCGTAGTTTTAGAATGACATCCACATATAGTAATATTATTTGTAACTATAAGTTTTACGCTGTAAATGCGACTAAAGGTATTGTTAATTTAGCCTAGTAGAACCGACTGTCATCAAAAATAATATAAAAGATAGAAAGCCTTAAATAATCTTTACTAGATGCGATATTTATTTAATAGGATATAGCCTATTTAATAGCCTACGATATAGGATAGTGCTATTTTGACAGAAGCGCTTGCTATGTTGTTGTTATTATTATTATTATTATTATTATGATTATTACTGGTCTTATAGGGTAGACGAATATCGAAGTATGATATGAGCAGGGTGCGAATTACGGGGGGTTTGGAGGGGTCTGACCCCCCTAAAGAAAGCTTGACCCCCCTGAAGGACGTCAAAACTAGGTCTGATAGAAAGTAGCCTATGCATAATATGGAGATTTGCTTTTAAAAGATGCATTTCTGTAGCTCTGACTGATTTTAGACTGTAATTCTGGCAGTCCCTGAAATGGATCATCTCGCTCATTTAAGGACGTGCATTTATTGCTTGGACGAAGCAAGAACACTTTCTTAAACTCATGTGCAGATTCAGTCGAGTAGAAGTTCAACCTCTTTAACTTTATGCTGTTGTACTGAATGAACTATTTGTTAAAATAGCCACAATATTAACAGCAACACTGAAATAAGAGCGCGCGGTTGATCTGTCCGTCAGATGCGCGTTTAGTTGCATGCATTACTAAAAACAAACACCGCTTATTTTCTTTCAGAATCACCATTGGCTGGTCGAAAGAAAAATAGGTTACTTAAAAAAAATTTTTTACTTACAAATGAAGATAAGGTAAAGGTGCAAATAATATCGGGGGAAGAAAAAATATATGGCTCGGCTGTGTTACATTTTAGACAATATTCTCAATATTGTCTGTTTCTGTGCAAGTTCGCCAACGAATCGATTGAGCTAATGATTCAGTGAGCCATTTTTAAACACAAGTCAGCTTTGCTTCTGAATTAATCAGCCGTTTGAACGAATCGGTTGAATGAATGACTGAATGGCTCACTCATTAAAACAGCGATTTGCCGCCACCTACTGACTCTTTTAGTTTTATATAGAGTAGTATATTATAATATACAATTTGTGTTTTTGTATGTTGAATCAAAATATTTCTTTCTTAAACTACGTTTTTTTTTTGCAGTGTCTATTCAGTGCTTTTTAATTTAACACAATAATGAGTTTTAAATTATCTATAATAATGATTTTGATTAATCGGCATATGCTGTACTAATTAATCTACGGTAATTATTTGAGATGAATTTGATTTAAGTAATCGGCACATTGTGTAATTTTTAACATTTTTAAAACATAATACACAATAAAAACAATATGTTTTAAAACACCCTCGATATGAGTCATTTCACGAGTCATGATGGGTGTCATTTCAAGATAAATGAAATAGCCCAACATTTATCCCATACTGAGTCACATCCGTGCAATCTAATTGTGAAAGTATAGGTCTACAGAATAAATGACTTGGCTCACCATTTTAATACAAGGAATGATGCTCTAAAACCCTAAATATTTGTAAATGATCTAAATACTCCCAATTAAGTGTGATATAAAAAGATTCTTCCTTTCATAGTTTTTGGAGCAGAATGTCTGGCCTGTACCACACTATCAGTCAGATCACTGATGAGCTCAGCGCAGATGAATGCAAGCGGATCTCTTACCTGTGCGGCGCTCTTGATATGGACAAGTTCTCTACAGATCCCAGAGGCATGTTACAATCTGTACTGTGCCAAACGAGGATGGATTACATGTTTCTCATGGAGCTCATTCTGAAAATAAAACGATATGATCTGCTGCGACAAGTGCTGAGCACCAACAAGAGCACGGTTGAGGGACTGCTAAAAAATGGCCATTCTGTGTCAGAATACAGGTAATGCTCTCTGATTCCCTCTGGGAATCTCCATTTATGCACCATATGGGGCTCAAGAGAATGTTTTAACCTGGACTTTGTGTTTTCAGAGTACTGATGGCTGACGTTAGTGAGGACATGGACACAGAAGACCTGAAGTCATTGAAATTCTTACTGAGAGGAACTTTACCAAAACATAAACTGGAAAATGCCCAGGTATGACGTCCTGATTCTGAAAGCTGTTGTCTTCATGTGTGGAACTGAAATGTTTCATGTGTGGAACTGAAGTGATTTTTTTTAAACATATATTTGCAGAGTTTTTTAGACATTGCAGTAGAGTTGGAGAAACTCGACCAGCTCTCAAGTGAGAAGATGGATTTGATTGAACAGTGCCTGAGGTCCATCCATAGGGCTGATCTAGCTAAAAAGATCAGTCACTACCAGCAGACAGGTAAGAATTGCCAGCTTTATGCTGTTATTGATGTTTTTGTAGATGCAACCATACAATACACTAAGTATTAGGCCTGTTGTCTCATTCAGAGGAGTTTAGGCTACAGTATATCACTAACATGATACAATCTAAGAAGAAAAAAAAAGTTACAAATGCTGTCTTTGTACCATATTTATCCCTAAAGGGTGCATTTTAGTACCTTAAAGGCACATATCTGTACGTAAAGTGTACCTATTAGTACCTAAATGCTACATATTAGTACCTTTTGAAAAGGTACTGCCCCAGTGAGTTTTTGTATCTTTTTTTTTTTCCATTTTATGATGATGCAATATGACATGTGACATCTGAACAGTATTGATTCAGTTCTGATTCAGTTCCTCTTTCCTACATCTTCTTATTGGTAGTTTTTTTCTGTTGCGTCATCATAAGAAATGCACTTTGTGGTATTTTTATGGGAAACTGAATCAGCCAGTTAAGTTTTATAGGTTTCCTTTTTGAATAACTGAAAACCGCTTTTGCAGTGCTAATGACCAAACAAGGATCTTCGCCTCCAGACAGACGTCAGTTCTGCAGAATGCCATTGGTGAGATTTAATTTGGTTGCTTTGTCTTAGCTTGAACTTAAAATGTTTAATTTTTTAATAATCTTTTCTTCACTCTCACTGTTTGTGTCATTCGCAGCCAAATAGCTCATTTGGTGTCTCAACAGCTTCTTGTAATGTGAGGCTGATTTCCAAATTCTGTGGTGAGTTCATTCAAAAACGGACAGTACGAGGAAATACTCTACCAGGCAAAAGTTTGGGCAAACCTCTCATTGTCTCTCTATATTTATATTCATTGTCTCCCCTCACAATTTCCAGTATTACTAAAGTCATCAAAACTAGAAATAGCACAAATGTAGGTATGGGAATTATGAAGTGACCAGAAATCTTAAAAGTCAGCACACTTGTCACAGATTCACACAGTTTATCGTCACTACACTGTAGAAAAGAAAAAAAAAGATTGTTGACAAATGCAAGCCAACATGATGCAACACTACTATGTTTTGTCAGTTTGGATTTTCATCCACTAAATGTAAAATGCACTAATTTGGCCAATACATTTGTGAAGATAAACTGCAGGTTCTGGGATGAAACAAACCACAAGCATTTTTCTGAAATCCTTTGTTCAGACAATTGTGTTTGACTAGTTGTAAAAAAAAAAAAACGTAGGGAATTTCTATTGTTCTAACATGGATTTTTATGTACTTACAGGTAACTTGAGTTTCTTATTATTTGTGACTCAAACTGAAAACATTTCCTAAATATATATTTAGTCAGGTGTGCCTAACATTTGACTGGTAGAGTGCAGAATGTTCTGTGTAATTATATAAATATTGTTTAACTTCAGTGCATTTGTTGTCTTTTGAGCTGCCATAATTCTTTATACTTATACTAATCCATATTATGAACCATAATAAGTTTATTTATTTGTTTATAATTTTTATTTATTTTTTTAGATAAACCGACAGCACTGAAGAAGGAACTACTTGGCTCTAGCTCCTATTGTCAGGTAATTTTTAATTTTATTTTATTACACACACACACACACACACACACACACACACACACATATATTAAATGAAACATATAATTCATTTTCTTATGAATTAAAAATATGTTCAATATGTATGATATGCTTTAAAGATATACTATATATCCATTCAATACAAGGAGCACTGATGCTCAGCTGGTTCATTATGAAACAGTAGAATTTTTATTAAAACAAAAGGTTTCTTTTCTTTTCTTTCCTCGACCATATGGCTAAAATTACAGTTTTGCATTTAGGATAATATTTTTGTTCTCCTGTTATCCAAGGCAAGCAATAACATTATTTCCTAGTTACACACTGTGAGTGCAGACTCCAAATATAAGTGAAACTGTTATTGTGGGTGAAAATGCCACTGTGATGGATTATTATCAAGTGTTGAACGTGGTCAAAGCAATAATCTATAACAGATCAGTGGGCCAAAACTGACATGTGCTGATTTGATCTCCAGCAGCAGGAGGAAGTGTACAGCATGCTGAGTGATCCCAGAGGAGTGTGTTTAATCATAGACTGTGTCGGCACTGAAGGAGGTGAGAAATCACTGATCTTATGCAGTTTACTCTACTGTTCAAAAGTTTAGGGTCGGAAAGATTTAAATGTCTTTGAAAGAAGATTCTTATGCAAATCAAGGCTGCATTTATTGGATCAAAAATACAGGAAAAACAGTAATATTGTGAAATATTATTACAATTTAAAACAACTGTTTTCTATTTGAATATATTTTGAAATGTAATTTATTCCTGTGATCAAAGCTGAATTTTCAGCATCATTACTCCAGTCTTCAGTGTCACATGATCCTTCAGAGATCACTCTAATCATTTGCTGATCAAGAAACATTTTTATTATTATCAGTGTTAAAAACAGTTGTGTTGCTTAATATTTATGTAGAAACCATGATACGTTTTTTCTGGATTCTTTGATGAACATGAAGTTCCAAAGAACATGAAATAATAATCTTATGTAACAATGTTAAAGTATTTGATTTCACTTTTGATCATTTTAATGCATCCTTGCTGAATAAAAGCATTAATTTCTTTAAAAAAAATCTTACTGACCCCAAACCACTGAATTGTACTGTAAATAACCAATATTAAAGGGGTCATATGATGCTTTTTTAAAGATCATTATTTTGTGTATTTGGTGTAACAGAATATGTTGGTTTTGAGTCTTTAGTCTTTGCAACTTCAGGGATCTTATCTATGCACAAGCAGCTTGTAACACTCCAAAGAGAAAGGAAAACTTGAAATCGCATCATATGACCCCTTTAATGATTCTTTCACTGAGTTTTTAATCTGGTGCTATTTTTCAGTGTGAATTAAATTTTCAGTACAAAAGCACAAAACTTTATCCAAAAGGTACTATTCTATTGTTGTTTCTTTTCCTAGCACAAACTTTTTATTTTTTTTTGTAATGACAAATTTTAGTTTAATCCCCAAAACACAACAGGATGAGCCATGAGCCATTTCCATTTACTGTAGCAATTGTAATGACCAGTAAATTTAATAGCAGACTATTATCTAACCAGAATTTATTTATTCATTTATTTTTAATTGAGTTGAAAATTGGAAGTCATTCGAATGTAAATATCTGTTTGGTGATTAGTACTATTAGTACCACTTAGTTGTGAAAGAAATCACATTACCTTCTGGTAATGGCTTCTCTTTTCCTTACAGATGAGCTCGAGCAAATATTTAAGGCCTTACACTTTCATGTGATCACGCATAAGCTGCTGAGTGTGAGAGACGTGCAGTCCACTCTGAGGGAAGTGGCTCATCAGCAGGGTCACTATAGAGTGTCTGCTTTTGTCTGCTGCATTATCAGCCGAAGCCGCTCATCAGATCTGCTGGCCACTGACTCTCACGGTCCAGGACTGAGCCTGGACACTGTCAGGCGCCTCTTCACCTCAGACTCCTGCCCGGGCCTGGCAGGCAAGCCTAAACTCTTCTTTATCCAGAGCTATGATGTGTCCGAGCCTCAGAGGTGTGCTGGGTGTATGGGGTGTGAAGATGAGGAGGGTGGAGAGCTGGAGACAGACGGGCCTGTGCTCTTATGCCGCGCGAGGACGGTCCCAGTGGACGCGGACATCTTCTGGAGTCACTGCTGGACTAAAGGACAACAGCTGGAGGTGCCAAACCATCAGTCTGTGTATCTGAAAGCCTTGAGATCCTCCTTAACGGAGGGACAGAAAAGGTAAGACTAACACTTTGAATTGTTTAGAATTACACTACCCAGTCAAAAGATTGGAATACTTAATTCTCATGCTCACCAAAACTCCATTTATTTGATCAAAAGTACTTATTTTAAAACAGTTTATTCCTGTTATGTAAAGTTGAATTTTCAGCATCATTACTCCAGTCTTCAGTGTCACATGATCCTTCAGAAATCATTCTAATATGCTGATTTGCTGCTCAAGAAACATTTCTTATCAATGCTAAAAACAGTTTTGCTGTCATACACTAGTTTGGGGTAAGTAAGAGAACAAGGATGCTTTTACGTGATCAAAAGTGACTTTTGAAAATGTTACAAACAATTTTTGATTTAAATAAGTGCTATTCTTTTGAACTTTTATTTCATCAAGAAATCCTAAAAAAATGTGTCCACAAAAATATTAGGCAGCACAACCGTTTAAAACATTGATAATAAGAAATGTTTCTTGAGCAGCAAATCAGCATATTAGAATGATTTCATGTGGATCATGTGACACTGAAGACTGGAGTAATGATGCTGAAAATTCAGGAATAAATTACGTTTTGAAATATATTCAAATAGAAAACAGTTATTTTAAATTTTAATAATATTTCACAATATTAAATGAATGATATTACATAATGATAATTCATTAGAGTTCATAAAAAAAACGTAATTATTCAAAAAAAAAATTTCTGGTAGCATATAGTATGCAGCATAAATTATATCACATATTTCTGAATCTCTATTGGCTATTTTGGACCCAGGGATTGATTGAAACTTTATTTATCTCTATTAAGCTTTATGTAATTTTTACCAATTGCATTTTTATTCTTTTCAGGAGGACTCATTTGGTAGACTTGCACATGGCGGTGAATCGTGCAGTATATGAGCACAATCACAAATCTCCACAATCATCTTACTTTTTAAATCTGAGACACACTCTCAGGAAGAAAGTCTACTTGTATGCAAGAACATTTGATGTTTGAGTAACGATGATCATCACAATGATGTCGACATGAATTGTATCAATTATGAGTTGCAGTGTTTCAGTAAATAAATCTCAGGTTTTGTAATTGTAGTTTCCTATATTGTCCACATGTTGGCAGTGTTGTCCAGTGTTGGCAATGAACTTCACCACTGTGTTAAACTTTTTTCTTTTTTACATTTTAATTTCTTTGAAAAAAAATCTGATTGTCCTTTAAACCAATAATTTACATCATTTAATTGAATTGAATTATTTTTTTTTTAATTGGGAAAAAAAAGTTTGAATGAAAGTCCCAAACAATATTAAACTATTTGAATACTGATAGCTTCTCAGACAGCCTACAGACTGTGTCTACAGTCACAGGAAACTGTATCACACATTATCCAAATTCCATTATAGTCTTCATATTTTTTTAATATTTTATTTTTTTTAAATACAAATATTTATATTTGATATGTATATTTATTGTCATACTGTGTGCTTATGTTTGTCATTCCACGGGTGCCATTTGTATCCCTCCTGAAAATGTGTAACAATGACTTAACAATGAATCAAATAGAAAACAGTTATTTTAAATTTTAATAATATTTCACAATATTAAATGAATGATATTACATAATGATAATTCATTAGAGTTCATAAAAAAAACGTAATTATTCAAAAAAAAAATTTCTGGTAGCATATAGTATGCAGCATAAATTATATCACATATTTCTGAATCTCTATTGGCTATTTTGGACCCAGGGATTGATTGAAACTTTATTTATCTCTATTAAGCTTTATGTAATTTTTACCAATTGCATTTTTATTCTTTTCAGGAGGACTCATTTGGTAGACTTGCACATGGCGGTGAATCGTGCAGTATATGAGCACAATCACAAATCTCCACAATCATCTTACTTTTTAAATCTGAGACACACTCTCAGGAAGAAAGTCTACTTGTATGCAAGAACATTTGATGTTTGAGTAACGATGATCATCACAATGATGTCGACATGAATTGTATCAATTATGAGTTGCAGTGTTTCAGTAAATAAATCTCAGGTTTTGTAATTGTAGTTTCCTATATTGTCCACATGTTGGCAGTGTTGTCCAGTGTTGGCAATGAACTTCACCACTGTGTTAAACTTTTTTCTTTTTTACATTTTAATTTCTTTGAAAAAAAATCTGATTGTCCTTTAAACCAATAATTTACATCATTTAATTGAATTGAATTATTTTTTTTTTAATTGGGAAAAAAAAGTTTGAATGAAAGTCCCAAACAATATTAAACTATTTGAATACTGATAGCTTCTCAGACAGCCTACAGACTGTGTCTACAGTCACAGGAAACTGTATCACACATTATCCAAATTCCATTATAGTCTTCATATTTTTTTAATATTTTATTTTTTTTAAATACAAATATTTATATTTGATATGTATATTTATTGTCATACTGTGTGCTTATGTTTGTCATTCCACGGGTGCCATTTGTATCCCTCCTGAAAATGTGTAACAATGACTTAACAATGAATAACTGACACCAACTTTAAAGTGTTATGTTAGACATGTTGTCTTAACAAAAATCCAGTAACTATATTTTACTTTTTAACTTTTTTATGTCTGTCTATGTATTTCCAACTTCTCCTTGTTATATTAGCAAATATGTGCATTTTAATAGAAATAAAAAAGAAGTCAACCCTGTTACCATCATAACTGACGTTAGTTCTGTTAATAATAATTAAGAAAACAAATCTGTAATGACATTAAGATGCAAACTCCTTAAAGACAAGTATCACTTCTTATGTTGTAAATGTGTCAGTAAGGAATGATCTTTGACTTTCAACCCTGTTACCATGATTTTGCCAGCAGCTGATTACTGAAAAGTGGATATTGTAGAATTAGCAGCGTGTTATTTCTAATAAAACCCATGTGTCATGACCTTGAGCACAACGTATGGCTAAATGAACTAAAACTGTTCACCCTGTTACTTTCAACCATGTTACCATAAACCTACTACTTCTATTAATTCTATTTAAGGGCATAGCTGTATTTATTTATTAAATTGTTTACATTTAGCGTTAAGTTTCACAATGCATGTTTAACAACAGTTGACGTAAATAATACACGTTTTTTTTCTGATAGAACGCTTTAAATCAGAGAGATTCTCTTAAAAGAAATACGTTAAACGGCAAAATACTTAATTATACAAAGGAATGGCCCATTTATTGTTAGTTTAGTAAGTGCAGCGCACTGCCAGTGTGTGTGTGTGTGTGTGAAGACAGCGAGAAACAGAAGGAAGTGAGAGTTCGAGTGCGTCCATTTTAAAACAGCTGTTTTATTTGGAGTCCTGGTGCGACACCAGGGTTTCATCTGGCCAGAATTGTTTTCAATCATTGCTGTATCGCTGACACTAATGAGAAGATGATTTCAGGGCAGTTTCCTGTCGCTGTTACGCTTGTGAAGTGGGAAATGAAAAGGAGAGATCGCAGAGCACTAGCATACTGCTTAGAATTTATAAAATAGTAAACTGAACGCACTCATAAAAATATAGCTTCCAAAAGGCAGTTTTCGCAACAATGCCATAAAAGAACCATGTTTGGTTCCCCAGAGAACCTTTAAGTAAACTCTCCTTAAAAGAACCATTTTCTTAATCTAAAGAACTTTTTTTTTCTGCTATAAAGAACCATAGAAAGGTTCAATA